CCATTAGGTTTCAGAGTTGTCGTTACTTCAAAGCAACAGCAATTCTGAATTGGCAGAATTGAGCCTTTTTATAATTTCTGTAGATAGCGAAAGATACTGACACATTGCTTTCAGGTTGTTTCAGAATAGATCTTCATCATATTGTATCTGACCTTTTGATTCTCTTGATTTTAGAGTTTTCAATGTTTTAACTTACTAGCATAATTATATTATTTTTTTCTAAGATTCAAGTAGATTTGTACACATTATCAACACCTTGTCTTGGAATAGAACTGTTCTTTCTTGATCCTTTATTAAGATGTCCACATTGTATTTTACAAGGATTGTAGTAAATGTTCATATATTATCAATACCATATCTAATAGTAAAGGATATATTAATAGAATTATAAGGCATATATTTGATAAATACAATGATATGATAATAGGTCTAGTCCTTATTTATCGTAATTGTATTCTGTACCTATTAGACATGCATCTGCACGATTTTATAAAAAGTTATATGAATAGTCCAATTTGTATGGGTGAGATGAAAATTACTTTTAGTAATTTTTCAGATTTAATGTTAAGGAATTTATTTAGATATTTTTAATATCAATTGTTAGAACTTAAAGAATAATGAAACTATCTTATAACAAAGAAACAGATGAATTGAAGTACATAACTAAATCCGTACACCTCATAAATTTAATAAACTGTATAAGTATTGCCAATCTTGTGTTTTCGCATTCAAAAGAGCAAGTATTCTCATGAAGAAACTGGTAAATGTTTTCAAAGTTTTCATTGAAAGTTATAAGTGACAGCGTATAAAGCTTAAAGTTTCCAATATTCACAAAAGTAAAACACGTAATTCTCAATGTCTTCGTTGCTTTTTCAACATACAAATATCTTCACAAACATAATGTCCATCTTAAGGGGACTACATGCTAGGATCTTAAAATAATGATTCTTTTCATAATATTAGAATTTGAATTTGTAAGCTTTAAAGTGCATAAAGCTTATAGTTGTATTACTTATTCGATTCAAAATTATTTAATTATTTACTCTGAAGTAAATAAAATAAAATTTCAAGTAGTTTTACTTGCTTTAGTGATATTTTTAAGTAACCCTAACGCTCTACTTACAGTTGGAAATCCTTATTAAGATATCACAATCTCATATTTAGGTTGTTGGCTGCTTTTGCTTAAAAAATTTCTTCAAACTGCTAATAGAAGCGTGAGGAAAAATAATCTGTTCTAGAAAAATGAACAGCTAATTTTTTTCTTATAATTTATTTTATGAAAAATGTTGTAAATATATTTTCTATTAAGTTCATTAAGAAGCCATTACTACCATAACTTTTATGTTAAAATATTATTTAGTATTTTTACTTTAAAAACTAGAACCATACTTATTTTATTTACACTGCAGTCTGCCATTATCATTGCTTTACCACTTACCACTTTACCACTTAACTGTTTTACAAGCTCACTGGGTTAAGCTGATTTCCACAACATCCTCACCTTTTTTTCGAGGAGATTTTTGTCTTTTCACAGTTCTGCAACACTTTTTAACCCATTTCGTAGTGCTCACACAGTGAAAGAACCGAAAATGGGTCGCCGTCTAGTGCCACTTTGTAATGTTAACTCGAGCCTGTCGTAGTTCGTGTTTGTCTGTGACAAAACGCGTTGTAGGAGGCATTGTTTTATGGCAGTTTTTATGCAAAAGTACCAACTTAAATACAAAATACAAATACAAACCAACTTAACATTCAAGTAGGAATGCGTATAGAAGGCAGTATGTAAGGACCTCAACTGATTTGGTGAAATTTATAGCATATCCTTGGGCGCACTTTAGCTAAGATTTCGGCATTGCTGAAGGAGTACGGTTACTGCAGTAACGTGCCTGCTGAGAGTGTGTTTGTGGTATAAGTGCGTGTGTGTGTATGTGTGTGTGTTAAAGTGGCACTGAAAATTAATTACATGCACGTTAATGATTACAGACTGAAAGTGCTAATAGGATTATTTATTTTATCGCAAAATATAGTTTTTTTTGCGCTTCCTCACACTTCGTCTTGTGAGTCGTGAGTCGAGTACGTGCATTGCGTGGCACATATATTAAAATTTAATACTTAATTTATGTGCGGATTAATTTCTAGTTTTTGCCAAAGGCAATACACACTAAAACACTACTACACTGATACACTGCTACACTAACATAAGCGTGCTATGAATGTGTTTGTGACATGTGCAATTTTTTCATTTATCGCAGTCATAAATTAAGCAATAAATAATTATATAACATTTTCATTTAGTTTAGATTGGGACAATTTCGCTTTGTTATCAGTAGTAAAAGTCAAAAGTGTTATTTATGCGATCATAAAAAAGTAGTACGACTAATAGATTTTTACGACCGGCAAAGTGCCATAAAATCCGTTATAGCAGAAGAGTACTGCTATCTCGTTTGGTGTGAAAAGTACTAAAATTGCTTTTATTTCATTTAATTAAAATTATTAAATAATTTTGCAAAATAATTTTTATATG